TTTCTATCGTCGTATTCCTCGAGCGTCTCACACATCCAGAGCATTAACTTCGCGTCTATTTTTCGCGACCTATACTCCAGAAAAGTTGAGCAGCATCGAGTTAAATGATCGTCGGAGTTACGTAAAGTCGCGTTTCGCTGGCGTCTCTCATTCACTCTCTCTCCCCTCGCTCCGTCTTTCTGTCGATAGGACGCGACAGTTTTTTGTGGTTAAATTCATGTCGCCAAGAGACAGACGGTACGACAAGACTATGAAATTAATAAATTTTATGGCTGTAGCGAGTAACGAGAAGTCATGTACCGAACGCAATTTTGCAATTCTTATCTGCAATTTGATTTCTCGGTTTCTGTATCGGAGAGATAGCAAGTAGAAATGCGAATAAACGAACGGTGCAACAGCTGTAACTGAATTTCTCCAGGCAAATGAAATTTTCTTTCGAAAAATTAACCTGAATGAATTTTGACATTTTTCTTTTCAAGATTTTCTGAGAAATTCTGATAATTTAATTAGCGAAAATTTGGATCGATTTATTAGTTATTATTGTAATTTCGATAAACACGTTAGACAGCGATAGATTTGCCATTTATCTTTATGGAAGAAAAGGAAAAGTAGGAATATTTATACGACTCTAAATTCTAAGCTTAACAGCCGATGAATGGATATTTTCCCAAAGGAGGTGTCGTAAATCCTGAAAGGAAAGTGGTTGAAATAGAATTGACGGGTCTTGGTAACCTTCGATTGGAAAGATAATTGTACCTGCTATGGGTTTACCATGGAACACCATTCAAAGCTGTAAAAGGTGTCATTCACGTGATGGGACAACAGGTACTGCCTACCTGCTACATAACCATTCTATTTCAAAAGGAAAAAGACTGACTGGTACCACTTCGATCCTAATATGACAACTCAATCGTTTAAGCATATTTTTTCTCAGCACTTTGATCACTTCCAAGTAGCAAGTTGAATGTTGAATTAAAGATACACAGTCTGGCAATTAATAGACTTTTTTAATATTCCAATGAAATTTTTAATACTCTTTGTTCCATATAATTAGAAGTTCGATGGAAATTTATTTAAATAATTTTACTGCTCGTTAAGATATTAAAAGTCACATTTTTAGGCAATTTAGAAAATTCAACTCAACAATAAAATGGGAAAAAATTTTTAAAAAATTTCCTAATAATAAACGATTGCAAGAATTTCAAGATGAGAACAGCTTCGAAAGTAGCGAACCCTCCGTTAAAGAAATATTCGTAACTTATGCCGAGACACCAATCATTTAAGGAACAACTAGTAAGCCTCTTTACAAGACTATTAACACTATTAGAAGAGATATTTGATCACCCATTTTGATACTCAACTAGCCATTACGATTCTGGAGCACCGCTACCCACTCCTAAGGGACAATGCCATCTGCGTCCTAGATCTATCGCATTATAACAAACTCTTATTAGGATATAATTGAATTACACTCGAAGGCCAATTATCGTCTCCCAAAGGATTCGATAACCCTGAAACCTTACCGGTAGCCCTTGCACATCCACAAATCCAACGCGATACTTCCACCTCTCGTATCCTCCGCTCGATTCGTTTCGAATTGTCCAGAAAACGCGTTTCACCGATTGTTCGAAACAGCATAAATCCGTCCAACGATTCTTCACGCTCATTCCCGTACAATTGACGCCGCCGGCCTGACACACACAACGGTGGCATGGCATAAAGCTCGTGCTTCATCGGCAATTCCTATGGCGGTGGAAAACGTCCGCTTTCATCAAAATTTATTACTTGAAGAGCGTGTCGCGACTGCCACCGCGAGAGCAATCAAGAACGTTTACACGTATCGATACCATTCACTATTCCGCTCTTGTTCCTTTTGTTGGGCGAGCGCATGCAAGAGTTCACTTTAGAAGGAGAGCAACACCGGAGAGCCCGTATTCAAACGCAATTCACCTGGGTGACTTTATTCAGTCCACGGACGCCTGTACTGCCCATTTACTTAGAAACCTGACCAGCTGGACATCGGCTAATCCTCGTTGCTATCGGTGATAAATTACGGTTCTACATTGACCCGAGGCTGCGGGGAGAGCTCGTTAGCTGCGAGCTGAGCGCAGGTGACGATTAACATTTTTGGTCCGCGGTACGCTGCCGTTACAATGCTCTCCGCCTTTCACGTAACTGAATTATTTCGCCTGTCGACGAAACTTAGCCGGAGTTTCGAGATACCGCCGACAATGATCGACCTGGAGCAAGCAACCCTCTTGTAACGCGGTTAATTCGTACCGTTTTAGAGGAGGGTTGCTCGTATGCCCGAAATATTAATACTGTCCAACTACGATAGTGAAAAAAAATTAGGGGAGGCAAAAGTTTCTTTATCAACCCTTGTGTAGGTACACAGGTACCCGGGTAACCTTTTCTATATTTTCTTTTGGCGATTTTTTATGGTCCTGTAAGAGTATCGTAAAGTCGCTCGGAATCCCCATTTTTTGGACATAGCTTTCAAAGTAAGAATTTCCTACTAAAGCTTGAAACAACCGTGAATATTTTGGTCTACACAAAAGTTAAGTAATTATATCAATACGTGTGAAATTATTAACAAGAAACCGTCTGATGAATTAGTTTTCATTGTGAATCGCTGATAAAGAAGAAGGAAAGAGAACGCCATTACTATGTTATAGGGGAGAGTTGCCTATTTTGGACCACTTTTTTACTTTTGTCTCCTACGCAACCAAAACATTGCAGAAAGCAAAGAGAAGCGGGAAAAAGGACAATCGTTAAAAATGATATTTTAAAAAACTTCCCCTGCAAGGGGAATTCCCCATTAATTTCAGCCGAAATAGTGCGTTAAAAAGATTGTCCAAGTTTACCAAAACGTGTTACAGGAAGGTTTTCGCAATTTTTTCACCGTGTTACAGGAGGGTTGGTTGCATCAACGTTCTTCTTGATCGTGTACAGGTATTCTAAGGCATAGAATCAGCTTGCTGTCACGACACTCGCAACAGTTTTATTCACTGTTCTCCGACAATTTACGATATAATTGCGAATTGGCTGTCGCAGACAATAACGCGCCATTGTTTCCCGTGGCTCTGCTAATTTATTGGAATTCTATGTTTACGACGTCCTCAACAGGGGATAACACGGATGACTTCATAAATCTGTTATTCGTGGAATTTATGGTGGTGACACCTGATTTCTCGAGTCATCTTAGCGGCGCTTAAAGTCAGCCTCGATTATGGCTTTCAGTGTTTAAACGGGCATCCGTGTGTTTGTCAATCGCAACAAATGGCGTACTGTTCTCCGCTTTCAACGTGGAATAACTGTTTGTTGCAACGATATCGGCGGAATTCGTTGGTGTTTTGGAATATTCAGAGGTTTTGTCGTTTCGACAAATTTAGGGAATTAACGATTTTCTTCGATTCGAGAAAATTTTGGAAAATTCTTTGGGATCTCCTTCGTTTAATTTTCAAAAATTCTCTTTTAACTTTAACGAGTGAAATGAACTTTTTTTTCATTGGTGCAATTAATATAATTAGCTATCACTGTATGATAATTACTTTCACAATTTTTGTGAAAAAGGGAGGAATTAAAATATTTCATCGTTTGAACAATTAATGATTTTCTTCAATTTGAGAAAAATTGGGAAAATTCTTTGGGATCTCCTTCGTTTAATTTTGTCATCAACCAAAATCCTCTTTTAACTTCGATAAATTAAATTAACTCCTTTTATTGGTGCATCTAATGTATGTAACTTTCACAATTTCTGTGATTTCTAATTTTTAACGCTAGTTATACGAAAAATACAGCTTTTAAATAAATAATTATTACTTTCGTGTATTTAAATTACACTTCTGTATTATTACGTTAAAATTTCTCCGTTAAATGTGAATGCTATTCCGCATTCCGTCGTTAAATTTATCGCGTAATCAATGTCGGAAAGCAATTGATAGCTAAACGAGAAAGCAGACTTCATCGGGATTATTTTACACATATTTAACGCTCGTAATAAAATACGTGAACTATGTAATACTGTAAAATGTATAATGCTCAATTATGCGTGTACTTTGCGCCTTTTCTTTTTTACTCCTATCATTTTTTCCATGTTTTATTCCGTATTCATCGCCGCCAATTAGTACACTTCTCGTGAGACAAGACAGCAAGACGATCGAAGTTGCAAGAAATATTCATTTGAAATTGAAATGAAAACCATTACTGTAAAAGTAATAGCGCCGGTATGACGACAGTTCGTAATCTGCGCGCAAGAATCAAAACAAATGAAATCTATTAGCGAGTGCATTATTTCATCTCTATAATTAAATTATCGACTTTCAAAGCATAATAACTGCCCCAAACTTATCGGAATTATAAGGTCATCTCTATTTTTATTTACGAGTGTTTGTAAAAATCGACCGCTATACTCGAATGAGTATAGTGTATTACGTGCATTGAAACGATACAGCTCTGCTAACATTATTCGATAATGCACTATTAAAAATTTTACTCCGACATATTTTCTTCTACCGAACCACTTTGAATTCTATACTTCTAATACAAACATTAACATTACCCTCTATTATTTTTTTTTTTCATTTTTAACACAACATTAACAGAAAGTTAGATTCCTACATTACCCCAAACTGAACCATCAAAAGTAGCAATTTCTGACTCCACGTCGAACCTCTCACCTAATCGCCGCATTGAAGCTCGTAAAGAATAACCATAAAACGAACTTGCACAGGTATCGAACAAGTTCGTTCCATCTACACCGTACAACTTTCAAACCTGCAATACGTAGTGTTTTACTACACACTTGCGTTTAGAAACGAACCGTCATCACTGTTTAAACAGCCATCCCGCCTCGGAGGTTAATCTTTCGCAATCGGAGAGAGAGAGAGAGAGAGAGAGAGAGAGAGAGAGAGAGAGAGAGAGAGAGAGAGAGAGACAGACAGACAGACCGTAAAAAGAAGAAGGGTGTAAAAAGAGGAATAGCAAAAGGTTTCGCTTACCGGGTTTGCAGAGCCGGCTCCAGTGGTAAGGGTTGCAGCATATGTATACAGGGTCTTTAGCGGAATGACAGACAGGAAGTCTCTTGAGCTCCGACGAGTGAGCGAGATCCGGCCACCGCCAGATCTGGCAGCAGAGCAGGTGAGGATCGATCAGCGAGTTGTCGAACGAGCCTCGTACAGGCACTCTGCATCGATCCGGTCTTACCGGCGACGCGCACGAGTCCTCCGATTCAGAGTTCTGATCGTCGTCGTTCTCCAACGAGGAAGAACGATGATGTCTACTACGATAATACCGATGATGGCGATAATTTTCTTGATGCTGCTCGGCGTAATAATCGTCCATTTGGTGTTGCTGACGGGACACGAGGACGCACGAGCCGAGATCGGCACCGCAGCTTTCTACAGCTGTTAGCAACATCTCTAGCTGATTTTCCTTCAGCGATTTCAGTAGCTCCTTGCACCTCAACAAACGAACGGGATCCTCGTCATCGTCCTGGCTCTGATCACCACCGCAACAACCTGGGTGTAGTCTATTCGACGAGATACGAACACCACCGCCGCCACCTCCTCCTCCTGCAACCCCTCCTCCCCCACCACCGCCGCCGCAGCTGCCGCCCCCTCCCCCTCCTGGCCACGCACCTCCTACACTACCGCCGTCGCCGCAGCCGCCAACTGCACCTCCTGACGACGCTCCACGCGCTCCTCTGGTTGTTTGGCCCGTCGTTGCCGTCACGTTGCTCGTGTCGTTGTCGGTGCCGCTCGTGTTGTTTGCGCGATGAATACGTGACGAATCCTCTTGAGCTTCACACTCGGTTTCATGCTCTCCACGGACCTTGGCCTTTAGGAGACGTCTAGTGAGCGCCGTCCGTTTGCTCCAGAACATGAACATGAAACAGGATTTGCGGTACGCGCATTTGGGGGCCAGTACTTTTCAACGTAGCCGCGCGGAAAATGAGAAATATATGGAATCGGTGCCTGACGCGACACCGTCACACCACCACACGCTGGACGCCACTTTCCCCTCCTCCTCCCCCCACCCAAACGGCAATGTGTTCCACCACCACCACCACCGCCGCCGCCTCCCTCCCTCCTTCCTCCTCTTCTTCGTCTTCTCTTCTTTTTTCTCTTTCCACCACCGCCTCCTCCTCCTCTTTTTCCACCGCAGCCTCTTCTATAACTCTGCCTGGTATATTTTTCCTTTCTCACTACTACCGAGCTATCCCGCAGCCGCTTCTCTTTCGCCAACGTGATGACGACTAACGGCGAAAAAACGGAACAGGAGAAGTATATACACCACCGGCCGGGTTATACACTGTCAAGAGGAAGAAAAAAAAAACAAACACCGCCGCGCTGCGCCGACACACATACGACCGAAGAAATCACAGAATCACAGACGAATGACGGTCCCCAGCGACTTCTGACGGGGCCAGCACACGCGCGTATATTTATTTATGCTCTCCGCGTATCTCGTGCACTTTGGATCACGGTCCCGAAATAGTGTGACAGTCCCCCGTAGCGGAACGCGGTGGCTTCGTTTCGCGCTAGAGCTCGTCGAACGGTCGGAGGCGTTAAACGCGCGCCACTCTCTGTCGTTTTCGTG